TTATAACGGACAGTAGGATAATGCGTTTTATTTTTTACTTTTATAGATATTGAAAAAAACCGTTAAAACTCCATGAACTTTTGACAGAAATTAAAAATTTGGATGAAGATTTAGAGGTTCCAGATGGAATTGCCGTATTTTCACCATCAAATGAAAATGGATATAATACAGACGAAGACTCTGGCGACGAAAATATTATTGATATAAATAATCTCCCTGGTAATCAACTAAGGGCTGAAGCTGAAGCTATATTTGATCGTGATCTCTTAAATGATGTTACTGATGAAGATAACGATGCATGTACTTCAGTGCCATCTTCCACAAATAATTCATTGGATAATAATGTAGTTGAAGGTGAAGATAGCGATTTTGACAGTGAGGACAACCTACCTTTACTTACCTCTATAAAGCGTCGCAAAATCTTATGGAAGAAAAAGGACATTGTTCCTAAAATTTCGGATTGGATTGAAGTCAGTGGGGCAAAGAACTCTTTATCTCCGCTGCAAATCTTTTCTTTTTTTATAGATGATGAGCTGGTCGATATTATTACTAATTACAGTAACCTATATCCATCGCAACACAATCGTGCAGCTGATATATGGCCAAATGAGATAAGAAGTTTTCTTGGCTGTTGCTTAGTGGTTATCATTCTTTTCCGAGGCGGGCAATGTATTGGGAAAATAGCCAGGATGCTGAAAACAAATTAGTCTACGAAGCCTTATCAAGAGATCGTTTTAACTTTATTATGCAAAACATTCATTTCAATAACAACATCCATTTAGATAAAAAAGACAAATTTTCAAAATTACGACCATTGTTTGACCTACTAAATAAAAAATTTGATTTATTTGCCCCTGTAGAAGAATGCTACAGTCTGGATGAATCGATGGTACCTTATTACGGAGGTCATGGGTCAAAACAGTTTATTCGAGGCAAGCCAATTCGTTGGGGGTTCAAATTGTGGACTGGAACGACAAAACAAGGCTACATAGAATGGTTTGAACCGTATCAAGGTATAAAAAACCATGGTCCTGAACAATATCAGACTCTTGGCGTAGGAGCTAATGTTGTTTTGAGATTTGCGGATGTACTTCAAGCTCGATCAAAAGATGCACCTTTTCATATATTTTTTGATAACTTTTTTACTTCCATGCCATTGATAAAAGAGCTAACAACAAGAGGCTTAAAATGCACTGGTACTCTACGAGAAAATGGAGTATATGGTTGTCCACTGAAGTCATCTAAGCTTATGAAAAAAGAACCAAGAGGCACCTTTGAATATGTTCTGGAAGAAAACAGCAACATTATGATCTGAAAATGGAATGACAATAATGCTGTAACAATTGCATCAAATGTAACTTCACCGTTTCCTACTATACAGGTTAAGAGGTTTTCGCAAAGGGAGAAAATAAATGTTTATATTCCACAACCTTATTTCATAAAAAAATATAATGAGAACATGGGGGTTGTTGATCGTGCAGATCAAAATATAACTTTATATAGGGTAGCTATTAGAGGAAAGAAATGGTACTTTTCACTATTTGCACATTGCCTTGATATGGCAGAACAAAATGCATGGCAATTGCATAAATACAATGGTGGAAAAATGGATCATCTCTCATTTAGAAGATGTATAGCCTCAGGATTATTGGAAACATACAAAAGAACATCAAAACGAGGGCCTTCCAAGAAAAGTAAATACCTTCATATGGAATCTAGGTACGATAGGCTTGATCATTTAGTAATTTACCAGGAAAAGCAAACTCGATGTGCAGTCTGCCACAAACAAGCTGCATTTAGGTGCGAGAAATGTGATATTGCACTCCACCCAAAATTATGTTTCCTGACTTACCACACCCAATGAGTATCCCCCTATTTAGTTTTGTTTCTTTTTGTCAATATAAGCTGATGTTTTTACTATTTTTTTTAATAATAAAAGTTTTTGTATTAAAAGTAGTTTAAATTGCTACCGTCCGTTTAAACATACGCGTTCAAACTTCAAAGCTTTAAGCTAAAATGAGAAAAAATATTAAAAATAATATTATTAATATTTAAATAAACAAATCTAGACATGGAAATTTTAAGGTTCAGAGTTTTAGGAGTATCTGGGTTAAATAGCATCGAATAGAGAATCGAAATACCTTTCAAATGAGGTATCACAAGCCCCCCTTTCCCTTTGAAATTTTTAAGTTGATACTGCCCTCTTGGCGCTCCTTAAATGGGCACCTATCAATTTGACGTCAAAAAGCAGTATTCTTAATGTCCTTGACAATGGTTTTTGTCCGATGTCGATACCTTTTTTCGTTCAAAAGATAACAGGGGGGGACTTTTAACGTCCGCACTGTATAATAGAATGGAATTTATCATTAATCAGTTATTAATCAATAATCTAAACTCTGGCCTATAATTGATTAAACTTATTTTGGTTATTTTTAAATTTAAAGTTAAAGTGCTGTCACACCAGTGACCATCATTTCCATGGACCTCGTTATTTTTACTCCAAAAAAATAAATTTGGCAACATTGTCTATCATTATTTAGCGGAAGTGAAGATATCGCCATCACAGGTGTCAGTGGAGAGCAAGGCGAGTAATGTGTGTCACGTGATTATTTACTACAAGAGGCCAACACGTGGTTTTACAGGTGCGTATTTTTTTAATGCATCAGCTCCATGGACAGACAAAATTCAACTTGTTTATATATTTTTTGTATTTTTCTTGATGTAAGTTGCTTAAGTTGAAGTATATAAACTTGTAATACAAATATTTCTTCATTTTTTAACTTATATTTTAGTAAAAGTTCCAGAATATATAATTTCGTCATGGTCAGTCAGTGTCCATGGTAATGACCCTATGTCCATGGAGTTGATTCACCTTGTACATTCTATTGCATTGTTATGATAAATAAGCTTCTTCTTATTTTTAAGGTCGAACAATGTCAAAACCATCACAGATTGAAAGAAGGCGTCAACTAAAGCGAGAATGTGAGCGCAGGAGGCGAGAAAAAAATAAAAAGAATGCGGAATTGTACGAGTCGTCCAAAATAGGCGAAAGAGAACGGTATCAGAAACGCAAAGAAGAAAAAAAGCTAAGATCTATTAACGAACAACCCAGAAGAACGGCGAAAGTTATAAGAAAATCTTGGAGAGAAGCCTTTCAGCGATATAGGGACAAACAAAAAGACAGTCTGCTACAGAACCAGTGGCCTTTGTCGTCTAAAAAAAATGTGGAAGAAAGCAAATACAAAGAAGGAGGTCAAAGACTGTGAGGGAACTGAATAATTTAAAACTAAAGTTAGAAAAGGTCAGGAAAGAAAAAATGAAGTACAGACAACGGTATCACAGAATGAAGAAAAAATACAAAAATAGTCCTGAAATGAATGTTGAACGAGAAATTGATGGTCTTAATGTTCCGCCATATATAAAATCAAAGTTGGTTATTGCTGAGGCACTGAAACTTCAAATAGAAAAAAACTATGAATTAAGAAAAGGAATAAATGAAAAACAAGAATTTGCAAAATGTATTTTAGGAAAAATTATAAAGAAGTGCTTGAGATTTGTTAAAATGGATTCCTACAATCTGCACTTCAGAAAACATGTGAATTTTTTAAAAAAGAAGTTGATGACAAGACAGATTAAGCAAGCAATTGTTACGTTCCGAAAATGCTAGGAGCATATTGGGTTATTTTATTTTTAATTTTTGTTCCAACAGTTAATATTGGTTTAGATTTCATTATTATCATCCTATAGATTTTTATGGATAATATAACGCCATCTGTTGACGGGAAGTTCAACCAATAGGGTGAACGCCATCTAGGTCTATGGTTTCGAAGTTTTATTTTGAGGTTAGGCGATTTTGAAAACGTTGGAAAACGTTTCAACGCGTTGGTTGTGCTGGCTGTCATCGAATTCAGAAAAGGCTGTGTATTTTGCCTTCCGATATTAATTGGGATATAATTCGAATGCAGCATAAGAATACGTAAGGATTGGGTGTAGTATTTTGTTACTGGTATCCTCGTATTCGCGGATGATTCCGGATTAACTTTCAACCTTCTTGGTAAGCCATCTTGTCACATTGTTTTTTTTTAAGTATAATCGTAATCCTTTCTAGCCTTAATTCACAAAGACCGCATAAAACACCGGTTTTCTGTCTCCAAATTTCATCGAAGCTTAAGCTTAAGTTCGCTAGTAAGCCTGACTGAGACATAAACCTAAGCGTAAGTTTTCTTATGGCGAAATTTCGCATAGTTAACCATAAACCTTGTAGGGTTCTTCACTAGGGTCCTCCTCTGGAGTTTCGATTACTCATTGCTTCCCGAGCACTCTGTCCGGGCTTCTGTCACTACGTAACTGTCTACCATTGGGGCCTTAATAAGTCTGAGTGGTTCCAACCCTAGTATCCTGCCTACAGAGCGATTGCAACCGGACCTTAAGGGCGTAGATAAGTACCCTTGCATTTATTAGTCAACATTTGTTATTAAAGTTATTAAAACCAGATCGAAATCATTCAGGTGTTGTTCTTAGTAAATTGTGTATACTAAATATTTATCAAATATCAATTTAGTAGTCTAAACCCATTTTAATTGTTTATAAACTATAGTTTAGCTGTAAACCTTTTCGTGGCCACCAAAACGGTATTTTCACTTAGTTGTATCGAATAAAAACCAAGGACGTAATGAAATAACAACAAACAAAATTAAATAAACCAATATTAACTGTTTTCTTGTTGTATTATTTTGAACCCGTAACACAATGAAGCATTTTTATGCACAAGATGAGAATAGTCGTATGACACCTGGAAAAATAGACCTCATAACCTTCAGGAAAGTCAGAAAACAAAAACGCTTTTTGAATGACACCTTAAAAAACTTATACTTAAAATTCTGTTGTAAGGAAGAACGCTTTAGAGTTTCCTTTGCTTTTTTTGTAGTTTAAGGCCGTTTTGGGTTTTAATTCCATCAGCAGCCTCTAGAGAAACGTGTCCATGTTCCACACATGAAAACATGAGGCTACTTGTTTCCAAACTAAAAGTTTTGCACATAACTGCCGAAGGCTCCCCGGATAATCTAGTAAAAACTATATGCTGTGAACCAGTCACCGAAGAGTGCTTACAAAGGCTTTGTGAGCAATGCCATCATAAAGAATTGATGGTGGATGTATATGACGAGGATGAAAATTCCTCTCTTGAAAAATGGATTACTCAGAGAGAGGTAATTATGATAAAAGGCAAGGAAAAAGTGGTATCAAAGTGTAAAAAAGTGGACATTTCTTGCACGAAACGTGATTTGGTGAATGAGCTAAAAAAAACTTGCAAAATTATATGTTCCATACAGTCAAAATGCGACATCAACATGAATCAATAATTTACTTATACAGTGTGGAACTCACTAATGGAATAAAATTCGTTATTCGTTGAGAAAAGATTTTTATGAAAAACGTTCGGACACGTAAACTTTAGTTTTTTATTCCAAATCTTAAAATGATAATTTTAAATTTGATGCCCCCACCATTTTCCCCCCGCACATTAGGCACCCGTATCTTAAATAACAACCCCACTTTTTTTCATCGAAAATTGATAGTGCACATTTTTTTGAATACGACGATACCACATAAGTAGGGTTTAGTAACCATAATTTTCAATACAGGGTGAATATTTAAAAATTACAAGTATGAATTTTTTATTGTTATTCTATGATTTAGTTCCTTGTGTTGTGGCTTTCGCTATTTAGATATTAATGTTTTTTCGCTTTGTTATTGTTTTTTGTTAATACCATTTTTTGCGTTTGTCCTTTTTGCATTGTTTAAATTTTTATTATTAATGAAACATTTTGCGCTTTACTTATTGTAGTATTTTGTTAGATTCAAGTATCAGTTAATATTTTAGTTAAATGCGACTCTTGACAGAAACTCTGCGAATAGAAATATTAATGATGATTGGTTACGGTGATATGTGCAGATCACAACAGCAAGTTGCAAACCTTTTTAATGGAAAATACCCAGATTTACCATCACTTTCTCAGGCAACTGTGTCTAAAATACGTGCACAATTTCGTGAATATGGACACGTTAAACCATTACGCAGGACGCCTCATTTTATTGATGAAAATGTGAAAGTTAATATTTTATTAGCTTTTCCAAGAAGATCCAACAACTTCTACGCGTCAGGTTGGACGTGAAAACGACGTTATTCATTCGACCGTTTTAAGATGTGTAAAAGCCAAAAAAATGCATCCATATAAACTACAACACGTACAAGAATTGATTGATGGTGATTCTGATAGAAGATTACAACTTTGCGAGCAAATGCTGCATAAGGAATGGAATGGAATGTTATTTTTTCTGCAGATATTCTTTTTTCTGATGAATCAGCATTTCTATTAAATGGCGAGGTAAATAGGCAAAATTGCAGGTACTGGACAGAAGAAAATCCCCACTGGATGCGACAAAGTCATACCCAACGTCCTCAGAAAATCAACGTTTGGGCTGGTATTGTTGGTGATCATGTGGTGGGACCTATTTTCATTGAAAATCTTAACGGGGCAAGATATCTGGATATTCTAAGAGAACAAGTTGTTCCAACTTTAGCAGAGTTGTTTCCAAATCCATTGGAACCTACTCTTCCCAATGAAAGGATATGGCTTCAACAACACGGTGCCCCACCCCACTATGCTCTTCCTGTACGGAATTATTTAAATGATACCTTTCCACACAGGTGGATCGGGAGAAGAGGTTTTATAGAATGGCCAGCAAGATCACCGGATCCAACACCTCTAGACTTTTTTCTATTTGTATATCTAAAAAACAACCTGCTAATTTAGATGTATTAATAAACAGAATTACTGGAGAAATTAGGAACATAGCACAGGAGGTTTTAAACAGAGTGCGGGAACAATTTCACAGTAGATTACTTAAGTGTCAGGAAGTGGACGGGGGACATTTTGAACATTTATAAGATTGAAGAACAGTTTATTTTTTAATTTTTAATTAATTTTAAAATAAAAAGTTTAGTTTTTTAATTTGTCATTATATTTCCACCCTGTATTGAAAACTGTTTACTAAACCCTACTTATATGGTATCGTCATACTCAAAAAAATGTGCAATATCAATTTTCGATGAAAAAAAGTGGGGTGTTTTTTAAGATAAGGGTGCCTAATGTGCGGGGAGGAAAATGGTGGGGGCATCAAATTTAAAATTATCATTATAAGATTTGGAATAAAAAACTTAAGTTTACTTGTCCGAGTGTTTTTCATAAAAATCTTTTCTCAACGAATAACGAATTTTATTCCAAGTGAGTTCCATACTGGATATATTTGTAAAATCAGCATTTCTATTAAATGGCGAGGTAAATAGACAAAATTGCAGGTACTGGACAGAAGAAAATCCCCACTGGATGCGACAAAGTCATACCCAACGTCCTCAGAAAATCAACGTTTGGGCTGGTATTGTTGGTGATCATGTGGTGGGACCTATTTTCATTGAAAATCTTAACGGGGCAAGATATCTGGATATTCTAAGAGAACAAGTTGTTCCAACTTTAGCAGAGTTGTTTCCAAATCCATTGGAACCTACTCTTCCCAATGAAAGGATATGGCTTCAACAACACGGTGCCCCACCCCACTATGCTCTTCCTGTACGGAATTATTTAAATGACACCTTTCCACACAGGTGGATCGGAAGAAGAGGTTTTATAGAATGGCCAGCAAGATCACCGGATCCAACACCTCTAGACTTTTTTCTATTTGGATATCTAAAAAACAACCTGCTAATTTAGATGTATTAATAAACAGAATTACTGGAGAAATTAGGAACATAGCACAGGAGGTTTTAAACAGAGTGCGGGAACAATTTCACAGTAGATTACTTAAGTGTCAGGAAGTGGACGGGGGACATTTTGAACATTTATAAGATTGAAGAACAGTTTATTTTTTAATTTTTAATTAATTTTAAAATAAAAAGTGTAGTTTTTTAATTTGTCATTATATTTCCACCCTGTATTGAAAACTGTTTACTAAACCCTACTTATATGGTATCGTCATACTCAAAAAAATGTGCAATATCAATTTTCGATGAAAAAAGTGGGGTGTTTTTTAAGATAAGGGTGCCTAATGTGCGGGGAGGAAAATGGTGGGGGCATCAAATTTAAAATTATCATTATAAGATTTGGAATAAAAAACTTAAGTTTACTTGTCCGAGTGTTTTTCATAAAAATCTTTTCTCAACGAATAACGAATTTTATTCCAAGTGAGTTCCATACTGTATATATTTGTAAAATATTTATGTATTACATGAAAGAAAGGCCTTTTGGTTTGTAACGAAGTTACGTTAATTTTCCCGTATATACAGCCGTTTATTAGATTTTCGTACTAGTGGATGTGCGCCGTCAGGATTCCACTTCCACCCTGCGGTAAGTGGGGATCTGCGCCGTTTTAATTTTATGATATCACCGCCGCGCACCCAAGATAATATAAAAGGCAGAGCGGAACAATTATAAGGTCTCTCTGGCTTGATTACGCCCGCCCGCCCACGAAGATATCTCGACGTCCATACCAGAAACCGCCAACCCGTAAGTAATGACGCCCCGCCAACAGTTATATCAGTTATGCATGTCGAATCTAGTTATGAATAAAAGTATTTTCCCGTGCCCGAGCCAACCTTCGCCCCGTAACGCTCGGTATCTGCTCTGCCGTAGACAGTACCCAGCAGGCGAAACGTCCGGTCACCGCGAGCCCGTCCCGTGAGCTACGATATGCCCCCGTCGAAGGCCCGTAGTATTTTCTTTCCGTAATAATTCATTTCACTTGCAGCATTGGTTTATTTAATTTATTTTTCTATTTAATATTTGATAGAAGTGTGACCTTCAGTTTTTATATTTGTTGTTGTAGTTTTTTATTCATTTATATTTTGTTCAATTTACTTGGGTTTTGTATTAACGCACTTTATTTAGATATTTTAATTTCATATACCGCGTGTTCTGTTTCATTTAACTTATTCATTCTGTTTTGTTCTGTAAATATAGAATTACTTTATTTCAATATATGTATTACACGAAACCATTGTCTTCTTAATTTTAATAGTAGCTAACTGACCCCTGGAATATCCTTTCTCCACTGTCTAAAAGCAGACCCAGGTACGTGGTGCTTCTCCACTTTAAAAAACGAAGCTGACGCCCGAGATTTTATAAGAAAATCCTTAAGGTAAGCTCGCGCCATTTTTAACTAACGTTACCAAATCCCGAAACAACGTTACAAATTGGCGCCCGAGCAGGGACTTCTTAACAAACCGTTCCGCCCGAATTCCCTTCCTCAGTTTTTATTTTTTATTTGGCCTAAGAGCAGTGTTACCAGATTCTGTCAAAAAAGGACCGTACGTTTCGTTCGAATTTACCTTAATTACAAAATGACACAATGAAACAATGCAATTATGTCAAGTTGACGTTATTTAATATTGTCCATTGAGTCATTTTTGTAATTAAGGTAAATTCGAACGAAACGTACGGTCTTTTTTTGACAGAATCTGGTAACACTGCCTAAGAGTATTCAGAAAAGTCTGTTCCATATAGCCGTGTGACCCCTCGTTTAGTGGTAACTTGTGGTTGCTGATCCCGATTTTGGCAACAATTTTGACCTAAAGGGCCTTAGGAAAAAGTTTGTTTCCATATAGCCGTGTGACCCCTTGTTTAGTGGTAACTTGTGGTCACTGAACCCGATTTTTTGGCTTTTACCTCTCTTAAAATTGCACACCTAATGATAAGTTTTAGGAAGATAAAGGAAGGTATAATATGCATAATTAACGTTTAAAATAATTTTTTCAACATGGCGCTCTAGTAGAAAAATGCAAAATAATAAAACTTCAATTTCATCGATATTGTAATGTTGGTTGCCTAAAATATTTAAAAAATATGGATAGAATCCAAACACCGTGTGCGATCAATTCGTGCATAGAACTATTTTATAGAGAGTTCTTTTGCCAACAAGCACATACAAAAATGTTTACCAATTTATTTGGTCAACTGCCCGCTGCGGTCAAAATGCGGACACCCTGCATTTGGGAATGCTAAGGGGGGCTGTACAGGGGAGGGGGATTTTTTTTTTGGCAAATCTGGATGGATATTCTTTTTCTACGCCCCAAAATTAGTCGGTATGAATTTTTTCGTCCAAATCCCAGACGAAAAGTTCGCCTCGATATTAAATTATTATTCTTAACCCATTA